TGCTAGATCCATTATGTTATGAAAACAGTAATTGTCAAAATAAATAAATAAAACCAGAAATACGAAAAGAAAAATTGTGTATTGAATTCAGGACGATCACAATGTTAATAGATAAAGGAGTTCCAAGTTCCAACATCTGAACCACACTTTGCTGCGTATAAATCGTTGAAAGTTATGTAGAACACGGAATTTAGTACTAAAGAAGAAGAGATGTTGGTCTAAATCGTCTTACTATATCACAATCAAAAACTTTAAGAAGTTTTGGAAGAATTAGACTTCGACCAGTCCTCTTTACAAACTTCATGCAAACCGCCATGTTCTTCGTTTTGAATTGAAATAGATACTTTGAAAGAAAATATTAATATTACAGGTCTTTTTTTTTGAAACTCATAACTTTCATTAAAAACGGGTCAATATTACAAGTCTATGACACTGAAGTAATAAAGAAGTCTAACATTAACTATTCCTTGTTTGATGTCAAAAAAAGTATTCCTTGTTGTGTTGGAACAGACTAATATTAAACGGGTTAATATTACAAGTTTATGATTGACATTCAATGTAAAATTGGGGTCTGGAGAGTGGAGACCATAGATTCCATATCTGAAATAAGCATGTGAAAATTATTAGAATGAGATATAAATCCATTTTACAATTTGAGCCATGTTTGTGCACTTTTTGAAAACTCACATGCAAAGAATTTGAATTTGTAACTAGGAGTGTGAAGATTCCACCGCCAAGTATGCTTTGAAATGAAAAAAATCTAGTTAATACATGTAAAAATATTTCTCATATACACATATATTGAGTAAGCATCCATCAACCTAATAATTTACAAATCACACGGCTGCATGTTCAGAAAAGTTGAAGGAGCTTATTTGGCGCTGCTGAGACAAGAACAAGCTCAAAGACCCTCATTTTTGAAATTGTTGACTCTCTCAAACAAATTCAACATGCTTTAAGTTCTTTTTCTGTATATTAACCTAATGTAAAATATAGTTCTCCTATCTGAGGTGTTACTGTGTTTGGTTTATGAATGAATGAATAATGGAAATAAATTTATGCATGAAATACTGAAGTTGTTATGGGCCGGCTTTGAGTGTTTGCCTTTTGTTAGTATCTTACTTGTATTTGTAACTTCCATGCTACTAGCATATATTTCTCGTTGTGTCTCACTCTTTTTTTTAAAAAAAATGTTCGGTTTTAAAGTCTATCTTTCAAGCAAAGCAAAAGACATTAATTCGGACTAACTTGGTGATGTTTCTTTTCTTCAAAAAAAAAAAAAAAAATCTTAAAACACACAAAACATGATATATGGTAATCAATCTAATTCATCCATATATATATATATATATATATATATATATATATATATATATATTTGAACAACTAGCCATAAATATAAGAATCTAAGTAAAACATAACTGCAAGGAATGTTTTCAGCTATTTTCTTGTTTTCTAAAAAATGGTTTGCCTCAACTAAAATGAATTATCATATTTAGTGACCCCTAAAACTGACTCACTTGATCCTTTCTGATTGGCCATCCAATAACTTATAATTTGGGTATGAAATCTAAAGATGAAAAGGCATGTGAATTACTTAAAAAGACACTATACCACAGAATGAGATTAAAGTGTGGTAAGGAACAAACTCCAAGTTCACATACCTTTTGTTTTGCTCTTCTTTAGTAATTGTTGGCAAGATTCTGCAAACTAAGAAAGGAAACCCCTTAAAGGAAACTGAGGATATATTTTGGCTCAGTGTGACAAATAATGACAATTATAAGAATGCAAAAGCTCAAACATGACAATGCAGTGGGAACTCAACTGAGGTCTCGTAACAGTAGGAAATCATTGAAATGCAGTGGCAAAGAACTTTTCTAAATATAGATGTTATTAGATCGATTCACTAAAGGGACTTTAACTTCAACAGTTGTGAATTGTTTATCCCCAATCTTTTTTTTGAACTTTTGATGGCATATAAGTGGCTAAGGAATATCAAGTTTCATGGTATGTTCTTAGAAAATTCCATATCAATAGTAAAATCTTATCTCAGTGTTCGTTATGATCATTATGAGATCATAGCTTTCTCAGTACTTCTCTTGGATATTTGTATTTGGATCTGGATTTACATTTGTGGAATCGAATTGTATTATTCAGATTGAGTATTGTGTATTTGAAGTGCTGTTAGATAAGAATCGTAGAAGAAGATAAACTCAAACTTATCAAAATCATAATGCAAATCAACTGATATATCATTTACTCCAAATATTTTCTTGTTTCTATTATTATTACAAAACATGAGGAAGAAATCTGAATAGAAAAGATGTACCTTTCCGGAAGGCATGGCTAACTCCCCTAATTGCTTCCAGTTTGACTCGATATGTGATTCTACAAGCATATGATCAAAACTACGTTAATATATCACCATTAAAAAAGAAGCAACAACACACTTAATCATCACATATTTCAACCCAAATAGAATAACTATGTTTACTAAATACTGTAGCTGTTTTTTGTCTACTTATAAATTATAAGTTACAATTTATATAAATCATATTTAATTTTTAAAAGGATATTATTTCATTATTTTATATTACAATGTATAAATATACTCGTATAAATGACTTAACGATTTAGAAAATGATACATCTATTTCAACCGAATTTGTGAGTTATTTAGGTTTCCATAAGTGAATTGGTTTCCAAACAGCACCATTATTTGTTTAACAATTATTCACAATTTTCTATTAACTCAAATAAGATAATACTGCTTCATGTTTTTGGATATAAATTGCTAGTTTTCAAATGACAAAATTTGCTTAAGATGATGCAAATGGGAACTCCAAAAGAATTAGAGTTAGACTTTAACAAAGAAAATGAATATATTAAGAGCTTTTGGAAGATGAACACTATAAACTAATCACATAGAATAGTTTATTTGTGATGTGCATTCCTAGTTCATTGACAAACTAATGTGATTTTGATAGTTTTAAAAGTGGTAGGTAACATATTTGATGGTTTATAGTTACCATTTATTTTAGAACTCGTTGGTTGATTGATGTTCAGTTTTTGACTTGTTGAATGATTGATTTTTAATCGTTAGTGAGTAACATCATTTTTATGCAAGTATTTCATATTTTGGTGCATTCAAGAACGGTTCAAAGGAAATATTTTGGTAGTAATGAAAATTTGTAACTGGAGCCAAATAAGCTTTGAATTCATTTTAAATTGCTTTCTCCTCCTTTATGTTTTGCCAGCAAAAAACTGATGTTTCGATTTTTTTTTTACTTCCATGAAATATTTGCTCACAATTTCCTTTCTATCTTTCTTTTAAATTCAAATTCTTATTTTTTTTTTCATTTAACTTTTAGTTGTTACAAGAGTCTACAAATTATTTCAACTCTTAAAAAGTATACAAATATTTGACTTGATATAACTTGATTTTTAATCAAAATAAAGTGCACCGAGTTCGTTTTTATTGTTTTCAACTCAAATACTTATAATTTTCTTAAAGAAAGATACATGGCATAACTTTCATTTCATTTACAAAAGAACACATCAATTTTTGGAATTTTTAACATATGCACATACTATCCAGAACTTCATGTTTAATACTCACAACATATGAAAACCTCCAATAAATTCAACAATGTTTCGGTGTTGGAGATTACCAGTCACAACACATGTGATTGGCTTCTGAATACACCCTCCAATGAACTCAACAATGTTTCGGCGTCTGACATTACTACAGAAAGGCTTCTTAGTGTTTAAATGTTTATGTAGTCAGGCTCGAGGACTTTGATTGCTACACTATGCTTTGTTTTATAATTACATTGATACTTTCATAGACATGAGAAAGTGAATAATAAGTGGTATTAGAAGATTATTGAAGTCTTATGATACAAAATAAAACAACTTACAGATCTCATTATGATCCAGAGGCCAATAACAATCCAATATGAAGTTTAGGATAATTATGGATATTAGTCGTTCCCAACATTGTTACCTGATTTTCCAAAATATTAGTCGTTCCCAACAATGTTACCCACGCCAAACCAAAAACTGATATTACCAGAACTCAAAATCGACCAAAATTTGCTAAATATCCAAACGGATTTGTCTCTATAGATCCAAAAAAAACTAAAAACCGAAAAGCCCTAGAGCTAATTGATCCCATGTTCCTTTCCTTTAAATAAATTCAGATACTTATTTTTTCTGTCAGGATACTTATTTTCTGTCAGGATACTTATTTTATTTATTTACCAGAAAATACATAAATGATTTAATTACTGAAAAATGTACTTTCATTTACTTTTATTTGCTAAAGGAATGTCAACTCTTATAAAAATTATAAAAATATCTGAATTGGTAACACTTGATTTTTTAATCAAATTAAAGTGCTTCTATTAAGTCCTTTTTTTTTTTTACTCAAATATTTCAATTTTTCTTTAAGAAAAATACATGATATCTTAGAACAATTGTGGACCGGTCCACAATTGCAGAAAAATATGATCCACAATTGCAGAACAATACTAAGTCAGAACCAGATGTGAAACCGGAAGCAGATATGTAAAGAAGCATTCAAATGGTTCATATAAAACAGAAAGTCTCAACAACTACCAAGTAGAAAACAACAACAAACATCCTCAAATCTCTAATTTCTCTGCCTCAAAATTCAACTACTTGAAAGTAAGACACAAAAGGCAAAGAGAGGTGTTTTCCACTTCTTCAAGCATCTGTAGCTGTTGGAGAGTTCTCAGGTATCTTCAGAGGGAGAACTGCTGCTTCTTCTACATGTTCAGTGTCTTTCTCTCAATGGCTACGTGAAACTCTTCAACGATCGTTGGATCTTTTAACTTCAGTGCAAATGTAGAGAGACCATCTTTGCCTTCGCGTACACTATTCACACAAGCGAATGTGATTCCTTTCTTGTCCATGCTTGCAAAGTTGCAGTTTCATTCCCAGGTAGAGACTCGCATTTAAGATCAAGCTTTATTTCCATTAAGGTACTGGAGACTTTGACTTCTCCTTTACCACGCTCTCTCCATCCTCAATCAAGATATTCAAACATAATCGAGTCAGCTGAGAAGGTAAGTTTCTCGTTATCTTCTCTCGTCTCTGTGGAAACCTCCTGCCTTGGAGGAAACCCACTACCTTCACTCTTGTTGGTAATGGAAGATCCATATGTGCCGAAAAGGGAAGGTTTGTTACTGTTTGAGAAGCCAAAGATGAAGAGAGATTTAGAACGAGTTGAACCATCTTGAGAAACCACACCGAATGAGAAGGAAGAACCATAAGCCTCTCTACTAGCAATGGAATGAACTCAAAGAGCCACTTATTATTATCGTATTCTTTTTCTTTGCTCTCAATCAGATCACCTCCAGGTTCTTTCTCAAGATGATTAACATGATCATCAGATTGCTTTGCATGTTCATTACTAACATCCTCATCATTAATGTTTTCAGTCTTGTATCCAGCAGCAGAATCTTTGACAACAACCTTTTTACTATATATCAACTTCACCGTCCTCTTCAATATCAATTCCTTTCTAATTATCCTCAACAACCACTTCAGCAGGAGTCAATTTTGACTCGGCCACAGCAGTTGAATCAGGTGCAGTAGGGTCATTGAAGATCTATCAGCATGACTACGATAGTTTTCTGCAGCTGTATAAACTACCCTGCATAAACCAAGAATAGTCAGATTACAGAGAGGTCTAAACATCTCACTGTGTAATCATGCAAAAAATATCAGTGCAAGGATTCACTAGGTAGTAATGATACTCTGCTTGATTACCTTGTCTCTGAAGCTTTTTCTTCGACGGAAAGAGCAGCTTGCCAATCTTCAAAAAGATTTCAGTACTCCTCGGGATCAGCCAAAGATTTTGCTGCTTTTGAATTTATCTGTATACAAGTGAAAGTTGTCGACCATAACAATTTTTCACCTTGACCACAAATCAACATACACTAACAATAAAGATAAAAGAAAAAACCTTGTTGAGATCTTTCCTCCAAAGAGCTACTATCTCAGATACTTTGCTTGGAAGATATGATCTAGCCATCAGAGCAGCTTCAGGTATCCGGATTCTGAAGAAAGATAACATCGTCACACAGATAAGAAAATGTAAATGAATTTGATTTTCAAAAACTCCCAAGTGAATACAACTAATGATTTACCTCTCTACCAATAAGTCCAAACAATCTTCCAATCTACCCAGCATGAATAGGCAAAGATAGGCGACATTGTTCTTCCCTTGTTCTTTAGCACGTGTTGCAAGTTTGGACACACCTTCAGCATCTCCAATAGAAGAATAAAGTAGCAACAAACCACTTATATCCATAGCATACTTCATGCATTCCACTGCCATTTGTAGCTGCAATGATGACATACAATGCAACGAGTTAGCTGAAAATCTGCACGTCAGAGACAAAACCAGGGGACACAAAACATATATTTGTAAGATCATATTGTTGTCTGGTCCTCCCACTATCGAAAACACTCGGAATCATAATGTAAATCAGTACCTTCCCGGAAGACATAGCTAACTCTCCTAATTGCTTCCATTTTGACTCGCTCTGTGCTTCTACAGCAATTTCCTACAATCAAATAATCAAAAAAGGTTTATATACTGCCACTATAAAAGAAGTAAAGACGCATCTTAATCATCACATATTAAATCATACTTGCGCAATTTCAAGTCTATCCAGTTGTATGGACAACTAATCTGTAGTCAGGATCTGTGGCAATTTCCAGAACTTCTTCAACCATTCCTCATGACTCCAAGAAATGAGAAACACTGATAAGTGAACAAAAATTTAGATAAATATAGAGATATCCACAAAACAACCATAAATTTGCAGCAATGTTTAACATCAGACTAAGTAGAGACACCACATATTTCTAAGAGAATAATCATTAGAGCACTTTTATCGCGGTGTCTTAACCGCGTCTCTAGGGTATTTAGGTTAAAAAGAAAAATGGGTAATTGTACAAAAGATGCCGCTTAGAGCATGTGTATTGGTGGGACAAAAAGAAAGTCCTTAGATTATTTTTATATTATTTGTATGTTTAGGACTTTGTTAAGGACATTTCTTAAATGTGTAGGTTATTGGTAGGACTTTTGTAGTTTCTTAGTATATTAACTGTTTAATTTTATAAGTAAGTAGATATAAAAGATAAGTTTAAAATTAAACATGAAATATTAAAATTGAAAATATTAAAAATTACAATGCTGAAAAAAACCAAAAACACAATTTTTTTTTTTTAAAAACATACAATACATTATTTAAAAACATTAAACATACAAACATAGGAACTTAACCATTATTTATTTTGATACACTTGATATGATACATAAAATAATTTTCACTTTCATATTGACAAAGAGAGATGGCAAACATGATCAACACACACACTAATGCAGTCAATGGCTCATTTGGGTTCTGCTGTTTTCAACCAAAGAAGAGATCATAATAGCATTAGAAGAGGGAAATAACATAATGAAAATGTTCATTACAATACAAGCTAAGTCATAACAAGTCATTACAATAGAAGCCATAAGAAATAACATAGCATTAGAAGAAGAGCAAAGGAACAACACACAACCAACATGCAAACAAACAACCACCAAACACTACAAGAAAACACGTCCTTTACTAGGACGGGTTTTCCTCGTTATTTCCTAGTAAAGGGCCCTTTACTAGGAAATAGCGAGGAAACGTGTTTCGTCGAAAGACGTTCATCGTAAAGGCTATTTTCCTCGTAAAGGCCTAGCTAATTTACGAGGAAAGTTTTCCTCGTAAAGCCGAGGAAAACATTTCCTCGTAAGCTCCACGTACACTTTCCTCGTAAGGGCGTAGTAAAGTACTTCCTCGTAAACTCGTAGTAGTCACTTTACGAGGAGTTTGCTAGGAAAGTTTACGAGGAATTTACCTCGAAACCTTTACGAGGATTTTACTTCGAAACTATTTTTTCCTATTAAAAAAAAACAATTATAAATTAAAATTATA